CGGACCCCTGCCCGAGATGGGGTCCGTCCTCGCGCACCGCCGTCCCCCGGCTCCTGGGGGCTGGCGCTGGGGACGAGGGGCTTGACCTTGGGCTGCGTCTCCCCTTCCAGGGGAGTCTGGGACACGCGAGCAGTCGGGGGTGCTGGCCGCGTGGGATGGCCGCTGGGACGGGGGGTGTGTGGCGAAGCCGCGCACGGCAAGAGGAGCCCCTTTTCTAGACGTTTCTCTTGCTTTGCGATAAAAGGCACGGATGGTGGCCTCACCCAGGAACACGAGCGCTCTGACTTGAAGATGGTACAGTAGTTGCATCCGGGTATGAAAGCTACCCGCTGCGTAGAGAGCGTTTCCCAAGCTTTAACGTTGCTTTTTTGCCTCCTCTTTGTAGGGTAGCAAATTCTCAGTGCATTCCTTACCCAGTTGAGTACTGATGTAGCTTTAAACACTTAAGTTACAGTTGCAACTCGGCTCCTTTCAGAACAATGAAAAATACTTGTACTGACTTGTCTGTACTGATAAATAATAAAATTGCGGAGTGATCAAACTTACTACGTCTAGTCTTTTTTTTTTAAAAAACAAAGTATTCGTATAATCTGAATTTTAAGGGTAATGTTAATGCCGGTAAATGCCTAGCAGTGTCTTTCCTGCATCTGATTACAGTTGGTTTATTCTTGCTGATCTTTCCTTTGTGAACACCAGAAGACCCCAAGAGGAGTCAAGTGTGCCTTGAGAGTGCTGCTCTTTAAAGACACTAAAGATTTTTAGTTTGAAAGAGCAGCTTCAAATGGAGTTCACGTTTTTGTTGTAAGAATCAATTGGTTTAGACTCCTTCGGGGGGCTGTGATGTATGTTGCACCACTTAAACGAGGGCAGTAAAGAGAGACTTATTTTGCTGCTCACTTCACTTTTGCTATTTTGTCATAATAAATACTACAACCAATCCAGTTCTAAAGCAGCAACACTTCCGAGTATCTCAATATCAGAGGCACTAGACATTAGAATAAGCTGTATTTTAATTATATCACTAGAATTTTTGATACATATGTTGTAACAGCTCTGTTTACCTCTTGGATCTCTCAGTTGCTAATTCTAAAAGATGAAACGGAGAAACCACTAAAATCCACTGCTGCTCTAGAAGACTCTGGCTGTAGTTAGTAGATAGCTTTTTATTTTTCCAGATACTGCTGAACTAGAGTGTATGTATGGCTCTTTGAGCATATGTGAAACAAACAGAATACCGTTGCTGTGCTTCAGGAAATATGTAAATAAAGCACATGTAACTAGTGTGTATGTCCAGTTGTCTTTTTAAGCTGTCCTAATTCAATTTTCATTCATCTTGAGTCCCAGTGTTCTCATCTGTGATGCTCCTTTTGCTCTCACAGAAGCTGTATAATGATGAGCTTCTGTAACCGCGTGAGCTTGAGAACGCTGTGAGCTGTCTTGAACATTATAAAACATTATATTATAGATACTTTAAAAATACAAAAAGTAAAGCTGAATTTAAAAGGCAACAATTTCCTTATTTTAAGCTGTTAGTATACTGTTGTGTGCCTCTAATGTATCTAATCTATTGGTTACTTGGCTTTCACAGGTGTTCACTCTTAACATGGTAATTTCCAGAATGCTCTTCAGTGTTTGAAGTTGATTTTGTAGGTCTGAGCATAAGCTCTTAGGAAATGTTGTGTGGGCTGTCTGTTCTCACACAGCTAATGTTTCCTTCAATTTCAGTGACTGTAAATAAGAGCTATTAAGAGAACTTTTTATCCATACAGAATAATACTCAAATAATCTTCTTTCACTTTAGAGATGTTAGACTTCCTTCAACAGGAAGTCAGTGTTCTAACTTGGATATCTATTCTTAATGCAGGATATCTTGATTTGAAAAGTTACTTTTAAAAAAAAAAATCTCTGAATATAACAGAACTGATGTTTTTTAAAAGTGCTATATGAAAATGGTGTGCTTCCAGTATAAATAGAAATCTCAATGGTAAATACCAGTTCTGTATATTTACAACCGCACTTTTACAACACACACTATAGCCAACAGCCTGATAGTTACTCCTAAAACATAAAGTAACAAAGACTATTTTAGCAAAGGCATATATGCATTATTTTTGAGACTGCCACTGAAGGAAGAAAAAGTATGGCAAGACTGCCATTTCAGCTGTCAGCATAAAGCTGGAGTTAACACTTTTCAGTCTGATCGGTTCCTTCTTTTAAAGAAAAGCCAGATGAGGTAGTAGTTGTAGCTTAAATAAGGAAACTACTGCTCGATAATGCAATTTTTTGTTGCTGTTAAACTTTTTTTTTCTTGGAAGAATTCTAGTATTTTGGCTTACAATGTGTAGACAGGAGAGGAAAACGAAACTTTCATAGTTTGCTGTTATAAATTAATGAGTTTAGTTTACTTTTTTCCCATCTGAAATTATTTTAATAGAAAATACAATCATATGTAAATGTGCCTCTTCCAAGGGGTGTGGCATTCTCATTGCATTAAGTGCTGCTCCGGGATTCAAACTATTTGAAATAACCCTACACGGTAGGTAAAAAATTAATATTCAACACTGAGGAAAAATTTCCTTTTAGTGCAAGTGTTAAAGGTTCTCACTCGGTGGAACAAATACTCCAGCAGATTGAAAACACAGCATCAAGTACCTTTGGTTTTAGATCATTCCAGAAACAGTTAAACATTTTAGCTGTCTAAACCCATATATCAGACTATTAATCCTAATACGTAGTGCTCAGGAGCTTTATTAATTTATATTGCTTTTCAAGTATAGCTACATAGCAGATAGTCATCCTATGCTTTAGAACTGGCAAGATGAATCTGAGTTATGCGAGATGTATAATTTTAAAATTAGTCACGTAAAATACTACTAGTAGGGGTGAAATAAATTTAAGTCTTGGTATGATCTAGAATTTACGCAAAGTAGCTTGAGGTTCTAGTTTAATTTGTAGGCTCTATCTGTGTACATAAACGGACTTAAAAGTTTGGGTTGTTCCATATTTTTAGTATTGTATCACTGAGTTCTTCACATCAGTGTCTGGGTTTGGGTTAACAAAATACGCGTGTGAAGGAGGGGGGAATGAGATGCTTTTAATGTAAACAATATCCTCCCCTGCTGTGCAATGACTTCCTTACTGTGGTCTTATACAGTAAATCTAGCTATAGAACTTCCAATGTTTGACATAAAATGCTGAAGCCACATGAGGCAAGAAACTGATCTGGTTTAAATTCATTAGTCTGGTTTCTATTTGTTCAAAAATTATGGAGTGTATAACTTTGTATCAGGAGAGTTCTAATGATTAAACCTGACTTTATACTGGCTCAGGTACAGTCATTTTTGCAGCAGCTTGCCAAGAACTGGCTCTAGCTCTCTGACTTACATGCTCTGGCTAACAAAACATAAGTATAATCACATACATTTAATTAAGCCGAGTCAAATTCTACTAGGTAATCCAGCAGCGCATCATAGATCTGCTGTCAGTTGTGGAACTTTTCACTTTGGTGGGTTTTTCATGTGAAAATAACTCAACTTGCTGTGGCCTATGTGGGATCGCACAGCACGGATAAGTAATCTCTGAGCTGGTAACAGTACTGCCATGCTCATCAGCATGTATAGTAAGGAATTTCCAGGTTTTAGTCGGGATTCATTTGGACTGTATTCTTGTTACAAAAAGCAGACTGCTGTTATGAATGAAAACTGCTAGCAGATCATGGCCTGCATGTTCAGTTGCATCATCTGGCTCAAGACTGAAAATGACCCCACACTTAGGTGTGAGCGAGGTGTGTTTGCATAAGGAAAGCATAGAATAACACCTGCGTACATAAATCCCACTTTGAAGTCATACCGCAAATGGTTTTTCATCTTTTAAGTGCTGCTGTTTCCCATAACAGCCATTGGACTTGTTGCAGTCCAAGATCTTTTCTGTTAAGGAAAGACTATAGGTAGAATGGAAGATAGGAAGAAATAAATTACCTTCAGCATTTCAAGTTTTCTTTTTCCGTACATCATCCCTGCATGTGAAGAGAAATGTGTCTGGTTTTGTCTACATTGCTAATGTAGCTGAACTGGATAAAGTAGTAGATAGCTCCATAAAGGTTCCGTGTTTTCCTTTGAGTCTAGTTTCTTGTAATATAGCTGTGACACCAGGGAGGTAGATGTGATTTTTAGTTATATCTACATAGAGTATCAGCATTTTTTAGCTAGGATGGGGGATAATTTGCCATTTCTTCTCAGAAATCAGCAGCTTCAAAAAGAGAAGGAAATAAAAATGGGGAAGCACGTTGAAAGGTGACCCTAGAAAGGAATGAGCTTAGCTCTGAGCATTGGAAACTTTGGTCACAGAACAACTACTGCGAAACTACAGGTTTGTTAGGCTTGAGTTCCCGCGTTCCACATCAGATGCTGTTTTCTTTGAAACTGGTTATCAGTTTCTACGTTAAATTAACAGAATCTGCCAGGGAATATAAATTATGCCCTGGAATGACATGGCATTGATACTTGAACTGCACCTTATCTGAAAAAGTAATTTGCTTTGTGGTTCGAGGCTTGTGGCAGTGCTGTGTGTAGTCTTCCGGCTATAATGTGTTGTATTTGTTATGGCAACTGCTCACAAATGACTTAAGCCATTTTCAATGGCTTGGAAAAAAATAGAAGCTTTATTTTTTTATTGCAAGATTAATTCCTTTGATACAGTGCTAAAATGCCACTTTTGTAATTTTTAAAACAGATGAAATATGAATGTCCTGTTTTCTTCTAATTGGAAAGGCAGGAAACTTGAAGAAATAAAGGAAGAATAAGCTGCTTTCAAACTTTTCTCAGTTTAGCTTTTGGTGGTGGTCTTCAAGTGTACCAACTTTTTTTGAAACTAGTTGTACATTATGCTTGCTTTGTATAGCTTTCTTGTGGAATAGTAATGCTTTGCCATCTGACTGTTAGGGCTTGCATCTGGAAAGGCAGTATCCCTTTAGACAAAGGGATATACAGTTGACAAACATAATTTCTGCTCTCTTCTCCATAATTTTACAATTCAGTAATTTTTTTAGTTTGTCACTAATTGTTTGGAAAACACTTTTGAAAGTCATAGTTGACAGAGCAGATTTTTATTTGTATTTTTATGCAGTCTAAAAAGACTGTACTCATTACCAAAAACCCAGTTGAGATGGACTTGAGTTGATGGTAGTTGCTGATTCTCCAAGATAATGCCAGTAACTTTTGATACATCTTAAAGCTAGTAAACCTCTCCTAAGCATGTTGAATTAGCTTGTCTGTTAATTTTTCCTTTTTACTTTAAGGAACGGTTTCAAGGTGAATTTAAGTCAGTCTCAAGAATTAAATTATACAGCAGTCTAGTGATGACCTGGAATAGTCTCTTAATTAAGTCTCTCAATCTTACCTCTTAGATACTTTCATGTTTTGATTAAGAAGTTGACATTATTTTTCCACATATGAACAACTGTTCTGCAGTTAGTCCTGGGAGATGGCTTTTTTTCCTGGACTTTTTTTGTTGTGCTTTACATGAATGTATCTTTAGTATTCCCTGCTATTTCTCAGTCTTGCCTATCAGGGCAAGTTTTACTAGTCTGGTGCTTCTTGAGAGTTTCAGCAAACTTACTCAGCCCAAGCAGACACAACAGCTAAACCTTAACTGGCTAGTCTAAATACAGTATGAACATGCTTCCAAAAGGTACACTGCATTTTAAAGACTGTGCTGTAGACCTACTTTTAATACTGAATGTTGAGTAAAGACTGGCCAAGATAACCAGAGTTCGTGCTAGACTTTACAAGAGTCTTCCTCTGTTAATGTGATCTTCAGAAATTTCTGCAAATATGCTCTTTATCAATACTTGCATTGAATTTTTGTTGTGATTAGGGAGGGTTGGAAGGCTTTTCAAGTGCAGAATTGCAATGGCTCCTGTGCAAGTGGGCTTTATAATAACTTTTTCAGGCTGAGTGTTCTGATGTCTTTTCTACAATTAAAAATTAATAATGCCAGAAGAGAGACAATAGACTAGAAAAAAACTCGGAATACTCTTTCAAGGGTAGTGGTATTCCTCCAAGATTGTAGTTTGTCTCTTGTGACAAACTGGATGAAATTTGAAAACAGATTTATCTCCCCTTAAGTAAATAGACCAGCTATATAGCATAGTAAAAATTCAGGTTTTAGTACTCAAAATTTTTTGATGGTTCCCAGAAGATTTGTTATGTACTGTAAAATGCCATTTTGGTGTTTTGAATACACAGTAGACATCTGTCTCTAGAAGTTTATATTAGAAAGCTTAAGAAACCACCTTAAGGAGCTAGAAGAAGTAACAAGCTTTAGGATGACTGCCTATCTTCTTTTGGTTATTGAATACGTAAGTACCAGCATTTAGGAGGCTATTTAGTTTGAAGCAGAGGGAACGAGATGAATGTGAAGGTAGCAGTTAGCTGAGGGTGAAGAAAGCAGTGGTAAGTGGAGGATGAGGTGAAAAATGGAGGTGATGATGTATCAGGTGAAGACTTAGGGTAACGGTGGTTGTAGTCTTCTTGTAGCTTTAATTTATTCATCTGGAGTCTGGACTGCAAAGCTAAGAGGTGGTATTTCTGTTTCTATTTTCCTGTCCACTAAGTCTCATCCTCAGTTATTTTTCTCTTGTATGTTTTTCCATACTCAGTTTTTGGTTTTGTGGGTAATATAGCTCAGTAGTATATTAACAGATAGAGATTTTTTTTTTCCTGTTTTACCTTTGAATACTGTAAAGATAATGAAGATGGGGAGGGAGGGCACAGGAGAGGAAAGGATTTATTTGTGTGGTTAAATGATGTTTAGGTTTTAGCAAAACATTACCGACTCATTTAAATCAACCACTGTGTTTGAGAACTTGCAGTGAACTTCTAAGCAAAGTCCTCCAGCAGTGTAGGAATGACAAAGCGATTACTAACCTTTTTGGTGGATTTCTTTATTTTATTTTTGTAAAAGCGAATGCTGTCCTAATAGACTGTAGGGAACAAAAAGCTCTTAGCTGAGCCTTTGCATCTTGAGGGAGTTAATATAGGTGGGTCATAGTAGAGATTGTTGAGGAAAGGATTGTTGGGAAGATTTTGAGTGGAAGCTGTGAAGAAGACCAGGATGATGGCATTAGAGTTGATTCCTGTGCATTTCACCCTCTGTAGATTGTCTCTAGTTGTAATAGACCAGGCAGAGCAGTGTCTTTTGGGAGTTTGGGTTCCTGAGCTGTGGGTAAAAGGCATTTTGGAGATAAAACTAATTGACTTAGAATATTTTAAGAACAAAACCTAAATTTGGAAGTCAGCTCTCTCTTACTGTAGCAGTTATAATTCATATCAATTATTTTTTAGACTTTAAAAGATGCACATTTATTGGATAGTTCACTGGCTGCACCAGCAGTCTCAGAATAGTGTAAATATTTGACTTAATTGTTTGTAGTATGTGTATTATGCCCCTCAAGCAGTGTAAATATGCACATTTTTAAAGAAATAGTCAATGATTTTAGCAGTGTCTGAGCAAGGACAAGTTTATTTTCACACTAAAGTACATATCCTTAGAATTCTAGTGACTTCTTTTAATACAGCTAATGCAGTATGCTTAAAGTAATAAGAGTTAAATTTTTCACACTAATTCCTGTGAGCTTAATTTCATGTTTGTAAATTCACAAAAGTAGAACAATTTCAAGTGACTACAAGTCTGATACGTTTTGTTTCCTAAATTAACACAGCAAGCAAAATAGGCCTAAATATGGTATTAGAAGTATTAGCCTTCCTCTATCTCAGCTTTTTGTAGTAGGAATGTGGAGTTGATCATGGCTTTTTTTCTTGATTTCCTGTTCTGTTTCTATGCAGTTTCTTTTATGTCCCATCCCTGAAATTTGTCTGCAGCCACCAGTTAGCAGAAATCAGGATAACTTTTGTATTACATTGTATAATTGTTCACTAAGTGACTGAAAGATATTATGAAATGCTAATTCCATTTGTGCTATGCAGAGCTTAATCATAATGACGCAGCGCTTCCATCTCTGCTGTCAAAAGAAAGCAAGCAGCAGGGAAAAGAAATGCAAGAACTGCACCAGTTTCCAGTGTCTGTGCTGTGTTCCAGATTCATAAAACTGTTATTCTAGGTACATGTAAATTAATCTTTATGTGTAGTCTGCATAAGTACAGCAAAGACTTCCTAAAAATCCTGAGCTTCCTAAAAAAACCTTCTGAGAATGCTTCTCCATTACACAAGCCTGACTCACTTCTATTCAGTGAATGTGCTTTGCAATGGCTTCTAAATACCTATTCTATTACAACAGAACTGTGGGGTTTTCACGCTTTTAAGTCTTGACTGCAGAAACAGTTTTAAACTTTCAACATTACAAATTGACTCCTGTCTAGAAGGAATTTTGGGATCTAGAAGGAACTTTGAATCTTGTACTTCTTGATGGAAGTATTGAAAGGAAGTTTGCATGCTCTTCTCTAAGACATACCCTTTAAATTTGATCTTTGTATTTTCAGGTAACTGAGCTGAATGAGCCTCTCTCAAATGAGGATAGGAACCTGCTGTCGGTAGCCTACAAGAATGTAGTTGGAGCTAGACGATCTTCCTGGCGTGTCATCAGCAGCATAGAGCAGAAGACTATGGCAGATGGGAATGAGAAGAAGCTGGAGAAGGTGAAAGCCTATAGGGAGAAGATAGAAAAGGAGCTTGAGACAGTCTGCAATGATGTTTTGGCTCTCCTAGATAAATACTTGATCAAGAACTGCAATGACTTCCAGTATGAGAGCAAGGTCTTTTATCTGAAAATGAAAGGGGATTACTACCGCTATTTGGCAGAAGTTGCTGCTGGAGAGAAGAAGAACAGTGTTGTGGAAGCCTCAGAAGCTGCCTATAAAGAGGCTTTTGAAATCAGCAAAGAGCACATGCAGCCCACTCACCCAATTAGGCTTGGGCTGGCACTCAATTTCTCAGTCTTCTACTATGAAATCCAGAATGCTCCTGAGCAGGCCTGCCTTTTAGCCAAACAAGCCTTTGATGATGCCATAGCAGAGCTGGACACACTAAATGAGGATTCCTACAAGGACTCCACCCTCATCATGCAGTTACTTCGAGATAACCTCACTCTGTGGACGAGCGACCAGCAAGATGAAGAAGCAGGAGAGGGCAATAATTAAAAAGCTTTCCTCCGATCCCTCTTTCGTCCACCTCACCATCCCCATCATCACCAATATTTCCTTGCCACAGTCACACTAAATATCTAGTGCTAAGCATATCTGTATTGTACAGCTCTTCAGATCTGCTGTCCACTTTATCAAGAAGCAGTTTCAGATGAGTCTTCATGGGCATTGATGGATTGATTGGTCTATTGGCCCTATTTATCTTAGTTGCACTTGAGCAGTGCAGAAAGATGCATAGTAAATGAGGCGGGTTTAGTTTGGCTTTTGATTGGAAAATATGGGAAAGAATAATGGAAAATGATTGGAGATGATTAGATTCCAGTTAAAATTTTATCCATTTGAAATGAGCTGACAGTTCTGTTAAGCAGTACATTTTGTGCATGTAAAGTAAATTAGCCACCCCAGATTTTTTCAGTCAATGACAACAGTTAAGCTGATGTGAAATGACAACCCTGTTCATCAGTTTACAATAAACTCTTTGAAATGTGAGGTTTCAGTAGCAATTTGTTTTTTTGCCTCTAACTTATGTGCACAGTTTCTTTTAATGCAGTGCATCTACCTAAGAGTTTTGATACTTGTAACCTTTTGCAGTTGTTTTGAAGAATCATGAATTTATTTTTTGTAAACTCTTTGGCTGTTTAGTTGTCTGTGTATTCTGACAACACTATGTCAATATTAGCCCATGTTAAGATGGATGACTGAGATGCCAGACTTCTAAATTAAATGTTTTGGAATTAATGAATAAAATAAAATGCTGCTTTGGGGATGTTATCTCTACGTAAGCTGTCCTGTCTTTTGTTCAGAGCAGAGTGAGTTACCTAACACATCACTGACAGGTTAAAACATACCTAATAAAAAATTTAACGAGAAGTTGCCTCACGTGCTAAATAAAATACCAGTATGCTGAAAAGAAGAAAAAACCCAACCAACCCAAACACACACCACCCCTCCCCAACCACCCACAGCCATCTAAATGTGATACCTCTCACCTGTGTCAGTGGAGTCTCCAAAGGTGTGTCTAGTTACGTGCTTGGTAGAGCAGTTGTAATGCAGTTCTGCTCAGGATCTGGGCAGTAAAGAACATTACTTGTCATACCAATGCAGGGATTTGTATTTGCTTCTGGCCGCTGTAACTTCTAAACTTTTTTTCTGAAGTGCTAACCACCAAATCACCTTTACACATGAAAATCCTGGTACCTTTATTTCATATTTACCTGCTTCAAACAGAAGTGGTATTTGTTCTTAAAGAATGCCTCTCTATTTTGGCTAACTTAAGTTTAGTCCCCAAGCTTATGATGTTGTTTGGTTTTTTTTTTTTTCTCTCAACAGTTAGTGTATATGTCTATTTATTGGTTCCCTACATACTTCTGTAATGGTATGTTACAGAAGCAGGAAAAATTAGCTGTTCTGTGTCACTGTATCTTAAACTGCTGCTGGGCATCTGAGCCAGCTCAAAGGTCATGTAAGTTCTTTATCTAAATCTATTTTTCTTTGATTTGTTCAATAAATATTGCCGGTCTGAATACCCACAACAAATACTTTTTAAAAGCAGCACACTGGTTGTTTTTAAGTATCTGGAGAATTAGAATTTTTAATGGTAGATTTGTGTGTGTTTATGTATTCTATTGTCTTCTAGGTAATTCTAGCTTTCTTACACCAGTAAAGTTGGTGACAAGTGGAAGACTAATGCAACATCTGAAAAAGATGAAAATACAGATCCTGGATGTGCTCTTGTGTGATCTCGAGGTGCCTGACCTCCTAAAGCAGTTTGAAGTGTGTACTTAATATAAATCACGGCTGTCTGCCAGGGCCTGTTCTGGGAGTCACTTTTTCTTATTTGCTCCCGTTTCATCGAACAGTCTACAAGTCCCTGTTTTTCAGTTCCCCTTTTTGCAAGTAAGCCTTGGAGGAGTCTTTTGGCCAGTAATATCTATTTGGGCTTTACCTGTCTCCTAGATTCCTGTAGCTTCACTTCCTCTCAGATCTGCTTACCTGCCCCTGTGGAACCAAGGTATAGCTTGGCAGTAAGGCTGCCTTTTTATGTGGAGGCACTCTGACTGGTTACTGGTTAATGTTATTGGCAGTCACTAGGTTTATTCCTGTTTATAGAAGTACCACTATCTTTTTGTTACTTCAAAAGCTAAGGAGCCCTTTCTCATTTTAGTTGGTGTCTTGTGCAGATCCTTTGTCACAAAACTGTGAGCGTTCTGTAGTCTGCAAGGGAGTCAGCAGGTCTCTGACATCTCTGGACTAGGCAGTTGAAGATCAGCGATTGACCTGGTGTATAAGATCCAAAACGGAGGCCAAAGGGATTCTGTAGAATGGTGCAGATCCTGGCTGCTTTAATATTTTCTAGTAGGAAAGTTTATAAAGTGTACTGGGCACGTGGTTGTGGTTATCTGTATTGCCGTTCATCTGGGTAAATCTTTGCTGGGTATCATAAAGTATGAAATTCTATTTTGAAACGGCTTACTGGCTCTACTCTGCTGGAAGGGTGGACACCCTTCTCCCAGGCGGTATAAATGTCAGTGGATACATCTGTTATAGCAGTAAGTATCAACAGATAAGAAGGTAGTTGCATATTAGGAAGCTGTGAAAAGTTGCAGTTCCTTCATCGCGTCTCGATGAATCACTATCATGTCACACATTCTCTCTAGCTCTCTGGCATTCTGACAATTCGTGAATGTAGAGGCCCTCAGAATGATCCCGGAGGGGATGGAAAACTAGGAATGCTAAGAGTGGGGTATTGCATACTGGACTTGGTATGTTTGCTCTGTCTGAAGGTGATTGATACTTCGAAACTATCTAGGCTTTGTACCAGGTATCAGGATCTAATAGCGGAAGTAGATGTGGTTGGAAAGTAGCAACTGCCTTCTAAGAATTTCCTACCATGCCAGCATCTTCAGAGGAACTATCCCAAAGAATTAGGAATAGCAAGAGCTTCCTAACTGAATGTCCTGACAAAAAACTCAGCAAAATGACATAAAGTTTGTCAGTGAACTGTCAAGTGCAGGCAGTTTAATATCAAGTGCTCCTAGCAAAGTAGAATTTGGTGAACGGGAGAAGATTCTCAAGGTTATAGACAGTCTCAGTCAGACCTTAAATTAATAGTGTGGTCTTTACAGGGACAGGGATACTTTCAGTCTATGTCCTAATCTGCTCAGATGTGTTCAAACATATAAATGATTGCATTCATCTCTTAGAGTACACACACATCCTTTTGAACCCCACAGTAGAACAAAATGTGCCAGTGCTATGAGAAACTAAACCTCTTAGGCTGTATGTAACAAGGGGCCTATACAATGCAAGTGGTAGCACTGAAGAACGCTGACTTTTTAGACAAGTGGAAACCATAAGAAGCGTAATGAGATTGGGATCTCCACAGATAACGCACATCAAAGAACCACAGTTACTCTGGTAAGTAAGTAATCATTTTTAGTAGTGACTACTTCGGTATAATTATAGCTTTGAAAATAGTTTTTCCATATTGCCTTTCCTTTGTATATAACTTCTTTTTATGGTTTTTGATCCTTAATACTTGCACTTGTGACCTAAATCTACAGATCAGTTGGATGGAGTGACTTCCAGAGCCAAATGTATTTCCAAAGGAGCACGAGGATATTTCCTGACTTACTCCCTTGGCTTCTTTCAGCAGCTGCAATATGCTGCTATATAGTAATCTAGAAAAAACTTATGGTAGTACACTTCAGGTTGAGGGGAATTAAAAGACTGGTTGTATTTTAAGCCATACATGAGAATGACTTAAGAATAATAATGAAAGCCAGAAGGGTGAAAACCGACGTCAATATACATTATTGAATACTCTCTTATTGAAAACAGTGGCACTTTTTGAAGCGTGTGAGGTTAATTATACACATAATTGATAGAGATTGATCTTGTTCTGAACAAGCCCAAAGTACTTGAAGTTCCACATAGATGCAGATAGCTTCGTTTCTGAGTCTTAATGATTTCTGAGATAAATTAAGATGTATTCCAAACACTGAGGTCAGTGCAGGTAGATTTTTAATTAGTATCAGAAATGGAGCTATCTGTTAGAAATAAAGGCAGGCTTCCAGCTACCTTTACCTGCATGCCCCCAGGTGACCAAGTACTTCATTGATACAATTCCTTTCCCAAACTAGACCCAGGTAACTTCTTCCATATAGTTGTTAATAGCCATTGCCCTGTCTGTAAGAAAAGAACCTGTCGGTATGATTATTCAGGCTCCTCATTTGATTTTTATGCTTGTGCATATGTAGTATGAAGGTGATAGATAAGTGTAAAATATTTCTGGAAATACTGCAGGAAGCAAGAGACCTTAGAAGTTAAAGAAGTTTGTCTTCTGTGTGTGAAAGCGCAAGACTAAGCACTGGAATATTGTAAAATGCCTTCAGAAAAGAGCTATTTCAGATAAGAATGTTTCAGAAGCAGGTAAGACAAAAAAGCTTAAGGAGAGTATGATAAATTACAAAAAAGGTTTCTGTGAAAGCGTACACTACAATGGAAAACTTTTGAAAGTCCTTTTGTAATTCTGTATTTTGTTTTGTTGAGTAATAAAATGTCAAACATGAATAACAAGGAATGTGTCCTTTTTCAAGACTATAAACTGATTTAGGATATGCAAGCTTCTGCATTATTATTACTGTAACAGTCATCTTCCACTATTGGACTTTCCACATTGGACTTTCACTATTGTTGTTTGTGATGAAAAAACCAGAAAAACATAACACCATTTGAGAAAAAATATTTGAGTCAACAATTACAGGAGCAACAAAAATGTAGAATGAGCTGTTCTCTTTTTCTCATCTTTGATCATCTTTTGATAATTTTACTTTCTACAGTTATAGAGTTGAGTCAGCACACTTTGTAGACTTTGGCCTTAAATCTGTGATGTTACTTACAGGAGAATTGACCTCTTTTGGACCATATTGCCGTTCCTTTAGTCCCCTAAACAATTTTTTTGAAAACATTTTTATTTTTGCTTTCAGCAAAAATTGTTCCAAAGCTGAAATTAACAGCCTTTTGTTTATTGTTTTAGATTAAGTTTTTAGAATCTACATCTAAATTTCAGGATATTGTCTTCCATACCACATGCTAATTTAATATCCCATTGAAATTTATGTTTGCAAATACTTGCATGTAGGTATATTTTAAAATATATATGTTATGCAAATCCTGCCCAGTATCTACTCTCAGAAATTTGGGAGATGGAAAGTGGGTAAGTTCCCGACTGAGAGAAATGAGGTAGAATTTTGTTAGAAGTTGGTCTTTTGCTATGCTTATGAAGA